TATATATGTTTAAAAATTATATTCTATTTATGTAAATCCCAATAAATATTTGCTGTGGAGCAAATAAGCCTGAGCCAGATACTTCTCAGTGGCAGCCAGCGGGAAGATAAGAGGCAATGGGCACAAGTTGAAATGCACAAAATTCCATTTAAACATAAGAAAAAGCATTCTTATTGTGGGGATGGTCAAACACTGGAACAGATTGCTCAGAGAAGTTGTGGAGTCTCCACCCTTGGAGATATCCAAAATCCAACATGGCCCTGAGCAACCTGCTCTAGTTGACCCTGCTTTGAGCAGAGGGGTTGGAGAGGTCCCTTCCAACTTCAACCATTCTGTGACTCTGCGATAATCAGCATAGAGAAGGAGAAAGTCATATGTACAACTTCTCTGTATCTTTCAGGGAAATCTGACTTTGTTCATTAGCAGACTCTATGGAAGTCTTAAGCTGCCAAACAAGTCTGAATCTATGGAGCATAAGAAGAAATGTCTTATGAAGGGATGACTGGTAAAAAGCATTCAAGACAGCAGGTACGTTCAATGATCTTCACCAGAAGAACCTGGAAAGACAGGGCAGCTTATCATGCATGCCCAGGAGCCTCTGAGCCTCTGCAGTGGAGACTGAGGAGACAGAGGTGAACCTATGGGACATTAGCGTATAGGTTAGCCTCTGAAAGGCATCAGAACAGAAAAGCCAAATCTAGGGATTTTCCTTATCCTTGAAAACATGAAAAACTAGTCAGTTTCCTGTAGAGAGTTTGAAACAGAGAGAGAGACTAAAATAATTTTGGAATAACATCCCCATGTCAGATCCAAAATATCAGAAACAAAATGGCCACACCAGAAAAGACAGTAGTGAATCCTGATCACACCGAAGATGACATTAATGATTCAGAGACGGTCTCAATGTCCATGTTTACTCATTCAGCAAATCTTCATGACGCTAGCAGGACATGAAGTAGAGCTCCTTGAACCTCTTCATGTGGAGCTGCACTGGCCTCTCGAAAGTCATGAGCCGAAGTTATCAATTACTAACAAAGTTATAGGGAAAGGGACTCGGTTTTGATCAGACCATCATGTTGGTAGGGATTGTAAAGCTGAGCAAACTCACAGATGGAGACAGGCAATCTGTGCAGCAGAGTGTTTGGGCTGATTAAGTCAGGCCTCCGTATCTCCTAAATAAAGGTAGAGAGGAACAGAAGCGCCGCGGAAGCTTTTGCTTTTATTTTTTAAATGTTCTGGGAACCAGCTCTATCTGAGGAAAAGCTGGCGTTGCAGCATTAGTGGTGGGACACTAATGAGGGGGTGCTGGGATCCACACAGAGCCATGAAGTCTCAGAATAGGCAGGAGAAACACTGGAATTGCCTCTATCTCTGTATTTCTTCAATGTTCTCTTCAGTGTGGATGAATTGGAAGGTCATTCAAAACTCAAGATTTTGCAATGCATGGAGTTTCCCAGGAGGTATGCTGGAAACAAGCCTTTCCATCCAAAAAATAAAAAGCTTGCAATTTTACAACTCTTAGGGATGTAAAATTCCTCCAAGGAGTAAAATTGTCTAAAGCTCTCCTCCATCACAAATAGGTATGCAGTGCCTGACAGACTCAGCTTAAATCCCAGAGACTCAGGCGAAGCCATGAAGATGAGAAGGATAAAAGACAACTGAGAGTTGAAAGCACATCATCATGGGTCAAAATGCCCAGTAAGGCAGGCCTGGAAGAGTTTCCGCAGAAGATAAAAGAACAGAAAAAACAAGAATATAGTCAATAAAAAAGAAGGAAATTAAGGGTGATGCTAGCAAACTGGGAACAGAAGAGGCTAAAGAGGTAAATTCATGAAAATGACTGAATGCAATCAAAGGATAGCATGAAAAAAACATTAATCTTGAGCCAAGATAACTGAAAGAAACTAAGGAATGCCCTTTACACCTCTGAAGTTGAATATGGGCCGCAGCAGGGATACTTGTACTGTAGGGGTCTGCAGGGCAAAAATGTTTCTGGGCCTGAGTACTAAAAGTGGTTTGCACAAACAGTGGAAGTACACATACAGGCAAGTACTCAAAAAAAAAGCAATGAAGTTGACTTACAAGATAAGCAGCTATGTAAACAGATATACAGACTGAAAAAAAGGAAGAGGGATTTAATTCTGGTTGTTACTTCTTTTTATTAATATGATTTCTTTTGCATGATGTACGACTGAAACTTTACAGTGCTGTAAGACAGCAAAATTTAGAACTTTTATTCTACAAACCTGAATGAAGTCAAATACTGTAAGTGGAAGTAAGTCATCCAGTACTGCCGTATCTTTTGAGAATCTGTTAAGCATACCACCTATGGATTAAGAAAAAAAAAGAAAAAAAAAGTCAAACATTTTAACACCTCAAAAATCCTGCATTTATTACTTTAACAAAAAGTACAACTTTATCTGAATACAAAATATTAAGGATAAGCACAAGATTTTTTCTTATACAAGCAATTCCATTACAGTTTAGTGGAGCTACAGCTTCTTTCCCCAGGGAGGAATTTGGCTCCACTTCTGTTTCAGCTCTTGGAATCTCAGAAAAAAAACCAGGAAAATGTAATAAAAACAAAGAAATATAATTGAACAGGACAGAAACAAAGGCACAAAGCATAACGTCTGTACTCCTTATGCAGCAGGTTCTGCTGATACACAGATAATTTGCACATCAGCATTTGTATGACTTTGTACACCAGTTTCTTAGCTTCTGTGCAGAATTACTGTATTAATCACCAGGTAACAACAGAATTAAGAATATAATGGGAAAACGAAGGAGAAACCCTATGCTGTATTGTCATTTACCAGTGTCTCCTGTAATCTAGTACGCACCAGTAAGAAGGGTATGGGATAGGAATTTCATGCACAGCGGGAGATGGAACTTGTTGCACCAGTTATATAATGAACTCTGTATCAACTCCAGAGCCAAATTTGAATATGCATACCATTATTCACACTAACTGATGTTTTATGCCATTTTAGTAGGACTACTCATTAAATAAAGCACTATTTATCATCTACACCTCACTCATTGTCACTCACCACATAGCTGAATATATCTTTTCTATTGCACTTTCAGACAAAGTCTATTCATTAGAAGTTATTCTGGTTTTATTACCTCAAACAGTTAACAGTTCATTTTCTCCAACTTACAAGGTGATATTTCAGAATCAGAACTGACAACTGAAATATGTCACACTTGAAGTGCAATCAAGGTTCATTAAAAGATTCACAAATTACTTTATGTGGCAAACTTTTAACATTCAGCTTGACTGAAAATGTAAATGGAAAGCAACAGTATCCTTTAACAGAATGAAAACTGTTTAATTGAAATGAAACCCATACATGACTCAATCAGTTCCCATCTCAGTTACCTGCTTTCCAAGAGTTGAATGTTGACATAGGTGCATGAAGAACTGCGTGCACCATCTTTTGATGAAGAGTTTTAGACACTGTTATAAGCGTATGCACAAGGGGCAAACCTCTGAAGATTCCCATGGCCAGCAGGGTATCTGCCACTCCCACATAGATATAAATGATGTAGTAGCTGCTAGTGTCAGTGACAATCACAGGAGGTTTGTCAGAGGTACTGTTTTCTGACTGTGTTGCATTTGCTTTCAAAGCTGTCCTGTATGATGGAAATTAAAAATAAATGCATTACTGGAAATTGTGGGTTTTTTCTCTTTTATTTTCTCTACTAAAAAATAGTACTGCAATGTTCATTTGTTTTAAAACTATGTTAATGGTTAGTTATATATATTTCCAATCATTTTTAAATTGCCCTTTATGTATGAAATATAAATTATGAACTAACCCATGTTTGACTAAGGCAAAGTTACTCTGTGTGTGTGTTCAGGGATCAAGGCAATAAACGGCTTATTCATCTCCTCAGATACCTTTGGTGATTCAGGCAGCTATCAGCATTTGTAGTAATTTCTGAAATTAGTTGCAATTGTGCAATGAAGGGTTTTTACCAAGTTGGAAATTAAGCCATTGGTATATAACTACAACCCCTCCAACAGTTTTCTCCAAACTTCTGTGAAAATGTACTGCTTTGGTAGTCTCCTGCAAATCTACTACCAGTTTAATCACTGACAAAACTAGCCTAATCAAAGAAAATGCATCCACTTCTTTTAACCAGAAAAAGTAGTTTAAGTGTTGAAAAAAGTGAATTATTATGGAAGTAAAATGCTTCGGTGTACCATAAAAATCAAAGGACTTAGCGACCTAATGTAAGGGGACATCAACATAAATCCCTCCTCCTCCAGATCAGATCTAAGTCACCATATGCTTTCTATACTCAAACATACAGACTTAGCACTACAGGACTAAAACAGGGATCAAAAGTATTAACCCAGAAAAAGCCATATTGCTGCTCAGTATGTTTTAACCTTCATCTGCCTGACCCTGCAACTTCCAGGAATTTTTCATAGGTGAGCAGAGCAGGGGTCTTACAGAAACTGCTCCCTTAAAATGTTCCTAAGCAAATGTCTCACCTGGCACCTCTGAAAGACAGTGGCAAACCACAGTGTATTCAGAATAATCAAGTCCATGCATCTCTAGAGTGAGCTGACCCAGGAAAAGTCTTGCGTGTGTTGTTATGTGCTCAATAACAAGGCACAAACCATTTGATTGTTAACACTTAAAGTACCAGCTTAAGAAACATGAGGTATTTAGGTCATCCATCTATCAATCATTTTATTGAATATAAGCTACTGCCTATCCATATAGACTTCTGGCAGAATTTATTAATTATTTATAGCAAAAATCAATATAAAGGAGACCCCAATCTCTCAATAAATGATCACCGCTACTTACTTTTTAAGAAACCATAACCCAGCAAGAGAAGCAGCTACCTGTGACCAAAGAAAACAGAGTCAATTTTTTGTCTCGTCACATTATGTACTTTTTTTCACTTTTCTTCTTTCACTGACTTTATAATTGTTTGTAGAGAGAGCATTGTAAGTGAATGGAAGTCAAACTTCCCTGAAGAAAAAACCTTGTCATATCTGCTCCTCTTTCCACAGAAACCATTTAGTGCATCCCACCAGGAAAGCTACATTTAGACTTGTATTACATCAGGCTCTCAAGTGCCTAAATATTCTTTCATTGTTTTTTACCATACTATTAACAAAGGCTTGCTAATGCATTCATAATGACAAGGAACATTCACTGTATGCTTTAACATATTTTCAGTTTTAAAGATTAATATTTCTTGATGGCCCTAAAAGAGTAAGTCTCTCAATATCTTCAAAGGCAGCTATTCAAATATGAATGTCAAACCTTTAAGACTGTTATTTTTGCATTGTTGTTCTTGCTAGCTGATATCTACCTATTTGATACACCTATTTGTCTGATATTGCTTGGCTGCTAGTTTTACATAATTGTCCAAATAATCTATTTTAATATTTTTAAAATGTGGAATTAAACCCTTTTCACTGTGAGATGCTTCAGTGCTCAACAGAAGCTTCCTCTATAACACATTTTCTTGTCTGTCCAGTGAGACACTGGAGATCTTCATCTAGTCCACCACATTTTAATCTGCTCTATTTCTGCCTATGATCTTTCTTCTAAGGGTCTAAACATAGCTTCTAGCATCCTCTTCCCATATATTTTTATGGCACTGGTACAGGAATGTATTACGATAATACCTCAGCACATAATTAAAGTCTTCTCCTTGAAACAACTAACTTTTGCAGGTCTTACAGTAAATAAGTCAAGCTTGACCATGATGCCCTGGATTTATGCATTTGTAAGGATCAGCCTTCTTTCACAATAACGTTTTTACATCTCCCAGCAGAATTCTCCTCACAACAAAGGACCATTTTTTTTCAGCTGGGAAGATGAAGGTAGACGATACTGTGTCAGAATAACTTCACAAATCCTTTCTACATGTTTCCATTCATAACGCTCTTCTTCCAGTTCAGCAACCCTAGTCTCTGGGTATTACATCTAGGAAACACAGTTTTGAGCCACTTAAGTGAGCTACACACACACACCCCCACACCCCCACACCCACACCCACTTCCCACAAGTCTAGGAAGAATGTACAAATGATGACCTGTCTGGACTCACCTTGGGACCTGCAATACAAAACAATCCATTCTAAATCTAAAATAGCATCTCTAGCATTTCCACGATAGTCCCATCCAGCTCTGAAGGGTGTCAAAACTCCACTTTCAATTTACTTGTCACTACTGTCTCAGTTCAGCACTTGAATGTTCATCACTAGCCTCTCTTCACTGTCTAAGGTCAGAAGGGTACAAAGTGTTAGCACAGGCCACAGAACCACTTGGCATTGTATTTCATCTCATGCACAGAGATTTGCTAAAGGTTATATAGTCTGTGCTATGACTGAATATCTTCTGGCCCATTAATTTATCAATAGGCTTTTACTTAAGCAACAGTCACACTGGAAAGTTTAACTTAGATAGATACATTCTTTGTCATAAGATTTGTTCTTCAATTAGAAGATGAGGCTTTTGAATTATTTAAAAGGTTTTAGTCTAATTTAAAAGCAAAAATTTGTAATCAAGATTAGAAATGTATGCTGAATACATGGGGATAAATCTGATATACCTCAAAGTTAAAATTTCCTTTTCCCCTACAACTCACTTTCAGCTTTGCTGTTGTAGGTTTACATAGCCATTTTCCACTACCATGAAAATAAAACTCACATGATAAGAACAGCCACACATCTAAATACAGTCGTGCTTTTGGAGGTAGTTTAAAAATTTGGGATCTCAAACTAGATCTAAGCTCCAGGCTTTATTCCTGGTCTAAGCTCCAGGCTTTATTCCTGGTCCAAGCTCCAGGCTTTATTCCTGGTCCAAAAGAATGAATTTAAATCACCTGCAACATAACATTAGTGTAAATTCAGGATACCATCGATCGTATCCTTCTCCAGGTTTGATGATACTAGAAGTTTGAATGCCACCACAGAACTGCTAAAAACATTTCACTGACACAATCAGCCATAAAGTAGTCCTACAGTCCTAATGGATTCTTCTCTTCTTTCAGCTCATGTTGAAAAATGCCAAGAGAAATTGGTACCATATTTTATAAGTTGACATATGAATACAGTCTCATTAATCTCCCAGTCTTCTCTCTCAAACATGTTCCTTCCCTCAGAAAAACACTTAATTTAGGATATTAATTGTAAAAGAGGACACTATGAGATTCTGTATATGCGCTAAAAGTCTTTCCTAAACTGGGCAGGCAATTTCTATTACAAGAAAAATAGTCATACTTGCATGATCAGGCAGATGTTCTTCAGCACTTCTTCTGACAGCGTTTTCCACTGTACTTGGAAAAAATCTTCTCTGCATGCTGCAGGAACACCTCATCCATCTTTAAATGCCGTCACAGGCATTCAGCTCTCTGCCTTACTCACCACTCTTCTTTCACTAGGAGCAAAGCTACTAACTCATTTTTTAAAGCAATTTGCCAGAATTTATGTATGTGCTCTTCAAAAAAATTCTAGTAATTATTGTTGTTAACCCCCTAAAGCTCTACAGAGATATCTTTTAATGGAAAATGGAAGATTATTCACCTGTGAACAAGAGACCTGCATAGGGCAACAATTCTTATTTATGGTACCATGCAGCAGAAAATAACCGATATAATTTGAGAAAGTGGGTCTTCTGCTGCTGTGCGCTAATCACTGTCTTTGGCGAGAAATGCTCATCTAAACAGTAGAAAAGTCATTGCAATATCATTTAACACCATTTGCTAATAAGTGATACATACATGAACTAATGTCTTGATGTTTTACCCGTTTATCCTTTTATCACAAACAACACGGTTTGAACAAACATCATTTGTAGTAATATGACATCCAGTGCAGATTTTCTTACCTCAATTAAGAAGACAGTCACACACAAAATTAGAACAAAGATCAAGTTTTTGTGGATAGTAACGTATCTAAAATAAGTATTCCATGTGGTAACAGTACCCATGATTTCAGCATCATCAGTAAAGCATTCCTGTCAAAGAATTGATAAGACCATAGTCAGAATGATAATAATATCTATATATGAGAATTTCTGACACATGAATGTTGTCATTCTTTCGGCTAACTCATCTTTGATATAACAACACAGTTTAGAGATGATTTCCAATTTTCAGACAACACTGAAAGAAACAACCAAGATTTGTCCAGCACTTACCAGAAGCCCAGAAATGGTTAATCAATAGCTATTTTCTTTCAATGGAGATTATTATTGTGCTGTTAGAATAAATTTGTAAATACTTTTTTTTCTGCTGAGATCAATAAAGCAAAAGAAAAAATGGGCAGCGCTTCAGCAAATTATGAGTTTAAAATATTTCTTGTAGACTTTTTTCCGCCTAGGAAACTACTTTAGAAAATTTTCCTATTCTGTGAAAATCAGCTGTCAGTTTTGAAAATGACAAGAGACCATCATTACCAGTTGATAGTTATTAGAAAAAAGTAATTTTGGTCCAGTTCGTGGTATAAAACTCAACCTTAATTGCATAATTCCCAGCACATCCATAAAAACAGAGTAAAATCCAGCTTATTCCTCTATTCATTATCTGTATCAGAACATACGAGCTAAGCAGTCTGACACATTTGTAAAACTTGATCAAATTCCAGCTTTAAAAACTGTGCTAGTACTTCAAATGTATTTTATTTTTTCCATGAGCCTTAACGTTTCAAATGTCAATTTTACATAAATGTTTTAAAACAATGTTTTTCCATGTAATGGTTTCAAATTTTATTTAGCATAAGTAATCTTAAAGGTAGATTAAAGCGCAGGAGATTAAAATTGAAATTCTCTACAGATAGCATTCAAAAACTATAAAAATCAGGCAAAATAAATTTTTGAGGATTTCAATGATTTCGAGATGATATTTGAGTTTAAAAAAATTCACAGATATTCCAAAAAGATATTCCACAGAGAAGTACTGCATTACGAATTACATAGTCAGGTAGAAAAATATATAAGGAGTATATTGCACTAAACTATCACCATATCAAAAACCAAAATGAATGTAAATCAACACACACCTTCAAATCCTCTTCATTGATTTCATCAGTTATGTCCAAAACACTGTCTCGAGACAAGCGCCTGGTGTAGATATCTATCTCAGAAGACAGGTTTGTCTGAGGCACCATAGACATTTTCCGAAATGTACTTTCCTTTTTGGAAAAGTTTGGTCCGTAGTTCACAGGGGTGCCCGTCATCAGGTTTAACACAGATTGCCTCCTCCGACCTTGCAGTATATGGTCAGTGTTTAGCATGTTACTCCGAAGCAGACCTACATCTCCCTGTTCCAAGTCAGGTACCAGCGAGAGCCTCCTTTCTGGTGGGTCGTTGTGGCCATCTTCTATCCCGTTGACCTGCATCCCGTTCCTCTGCACTACTGAGAACTTCCTACTTGCATTAAGGGGGTTAATAATTATGGAGTTCTTCCTTTTGTCATTAAAATCTGATGTTTGTTTGAAAGATTGCTTCTTTATTTCATTTCGTGATCCCATGCCTTCTCCTTCAATAGAAAACCGTCGGAGAGTCTCAGTTAGAATTGAATTTCTTCTCTCTGCACTGAACTGATCAAAAGAATCAAATCCCATCAGCTCTGAGCTGAAGTCTGGCCGTTGACCCTGAAGTTCAGAAAATGTTCCATAGAAATAGCAGCTCCCTTCATGTAAAATTAATATTTTGTCAGCAATCCTTAAATGTTCCAGTTTTGAAGTAACCAAGATCCTAGTTTTATTTGCCATCAACTTGCACACACAGCTATAAAAGATGAAAGCGTTAAAAATTAAATTTTTTCTTCATGATTAAATGTTGCTTTTATCCCTTTCACTTTCAATCTATATGCTTTTATCTGCCCCCCTCCCAGTATGAGCAGTCTTGGGTGCTCCCTCAAACTACAAAGGAGGTGGTAAGGCCGAGATGTGTAAAAGGTGAGTACTTCATCACAGGAACCAAAAAAAGGGGGAAAATTTAATCATTTTCAGGTCAATCTGAAAAGCACAGTTCAACATGAAAATGAAATATTTCTTTTCATCTTAGGGTTACTTAGATCTTGTGCTACCAAAGTATTAGCTCAATTTCAAAACTTCAAACTTATGGTGACTGAAAAGCTCGCGGATGGCAGTGTGTCCCCTTACTGTTTTGAGCTACATCACCAGGACAAGCCAAAAGTCTCTGGGTGACCAGTCTTTCAGTGATTAGAAAAACAAGACAAAATACAGGTTTTTGTAAAAATTTATACTTACAAAGCAGGTAAGCGTTTTAAAATGAAAGCCTTTCTGGTACACAGACACACCAGATATAAAGCCATGCACTCTAGGAATAATGTATTACAGCAGGCTCAATACGTTGAGATGGAATAGGGAGCAGTAATGCTCACACCTGGCCCAGGCTTGTTCACAGCACAGTATGCTGTCCTACTGCTAACACAAAAAACTCAGTCACAAGAATCCATAAAAATAAACATCCCCAAAAGGTATAATTTTGACCACTTCAGTATTTTTGTACTGTTATTAAATTTCTGTTCTTGGTTTTACTTTGTGCTGGTTGGTGGGATTCTTAAATACAATCTATCAAAATATACACTACCTTTCAAATATCTCTTTTTCTGTAAAAATGTCTAAATGTCCAAAAGGAGAATCCAGGAGATACAAATCAGCATCTTTGTACACTGCTCTGAATAGAGAAAATGGAAATGACATTAACTTTCACAAGTCTTACACCTTTACATAAATATAATTTTAAAAGAATGCCTTTACAGTTTTTTCTCAAAAAACTGCAATTGATGATAGACTTTTCTACAGCATCAATATGGAGCTGGAGTTCAACGTTAAATGTCCTTATAAGACACCTTTCAACAAAGCCTTTCTTTGCTGCAGACCACATTACAAACTAATTCAGTTTTCCATTGATTTCTGTGCAAAGGAAGCTATACAGCTGCCTTTTACGCAGTTTACTCTAAAGATCTTTTTATGGCCTGAATCTGACAGTCTCCATCCGGTGTACAATGACCATTTAAATGGGAATTTATTACCTACTGTAACATCTACTGGTGCCTGAGGGAATATTACATATATGTAAATAAGTGTGTGAAAAGACGTAGGTCTCAGTTTTAAAAGTACTTGGAAATAACTGGTGAGCAAAGACAAGTGTATTAGTGAGCCTCAATCTTGCAAACATTATTTGAAATGGGACTGTACGATATTTCGAGCTCAGGACATGAAAAACTATTTGTAGCATTAGGACCTTAAGCTGTATGTGCCTGGACATGGCTCACTGAGACCTAGACCTGTGGTTAAGAGGAGTTTTTTTAAAATCAATTTCAATAGAAGTTCAAAAAGGCCCCTTGCCTTCCTCTGTGCGTAAGAAAATCATGATGTGATATGAATCAGGGTATAATTAGTAAAGAAAATTTGGACAGCTGCATTTCGGTACTTTTTAAAGTACTCTAAAAATGAGTTTTAAAATCATTATGTTAAATAATGTGAAAATATTTAAACATCAGGAGAAAAAGCCCTCAATAATAGTATATTATGTTAATAAACCAAGCAACTTTATTGAAAAATCCTCTGTCACGATGGATTTCACTGACCATACATTATGATGTAGTGGCTGCACAACAACAAAAAGTTCATGCTGTTCTTGGCACTTTCAGCAGCAAAAAGTTTGCAGGTTTTTTACTGGAATAATGGTAGCACTCAAATTATTGCTTTAATTTGTATGTTGGACTTAGTAGCTATACATGACTGGCTTTAGGGTACTGGGCCAGTGAGCTAGCTCAAACCCAGGGCATGCACTGTTTTTTTCCCTTTTTCCCTTTCTTTCCCCCGGTTGTAGCTGCAGGCACTGACAGTGCTCTGTAAGAAAGATGGATTCAGGCAATCTCCATCTGCTTCTCATGATGGCTGGTTGATGGCACTTCCAGCAGGGATTCTCATTTCACTTGACTTTGCATGGAGTACACCAGACACATGTATGCAGCCGGTTCAAGCAAATAATGTCCAGGGCAGATGGGTACAACGTGGGGCTGTAATCCTAAATTTTCTCCTCTAGCTTTCTCAGAGCTTCATCTGCAACCCACACCTCAACACCTGCACACCTTGCTGTATGCTGAGCTTAGACTGGAGCCCAAACAAAATGTAAAGCAGATACAGCCACTGTCTTTGGGACATTTAATTGTTTTAAAATAATAACTATATAGCTGACAATAAATATATCAGTTCTGTGACCCTCCAGTGAATGAGCTGTGACCATCTGAAAGTGACAGGCATGATTTTTCAAAGAATCTGGGAAATACTTCACATAAATGTTGCATTTGAAATGAAAATCTAAGTGGTTTTGTTGGTTGGGGTTTTTTTGCTCTGAAAGGTTTGCCTGCTCCTCCCCTCCTCTCTTATCTTACTGCATAAAACAGAACCATCTATATGCCTCTTCCTTCTCACAAATCCACTAGAAAGATCCACACTGAAAGCCTCTCTATTTTAAGGAACCCATCTTTTAGCCTCACACAGACATGCACATCTTTCATGGGATGCCAGTGTGGATCACCATAATGTGATTTTACTTCTACCCAGCGTTTCTGAGCATGGGAACCAGCACAATTTGCACTTGGCACAGAAATAAATGAGACTATTTACACATCAGAGCTATCATTACTGGGTTTCTGATGATAGCTAAGTGATTCCGCTGAAACACATAGCTAATTTATAAGACAAACACCTATGTTATTGTTCTGTAGACCTTCAAAATTACTTACTAACATTGGAAGGTCAAACAGACAAGGCCAGACCATTATTCATAGGTACTGACTAGCCATTGCTTTCCACTTTCTCTTTTTACAACAGAAAAAGACCAAAACTATTAGCAACATTTATTGAAACATAGCATTTTTTTCATTTTTGTAATCTGCAGACAGGGAGTATGTCATTAATCAATATATAAACTGCTTTGTAGAAGTGTCATAACAGGGAAAGATCCTGGAATATTTCTTATTTGTGTCTTTGTATGGGTTTCTTCAGTACTTAGAAAGCTACACTTAAAGGTCTGAACCTCCAAATGGCATCTTGCATGAGGGAGGGAAAAATTCATCTTCAGCTAAGCCATAGCATGCATCTGACATCAAACTTTTAAAATTCAATAAATAAATATGCAAGTGTATCACAAACACAATTGCATAGCAAAACTCAGATTTCTGACAGTAAAATGAAGTTCCTGATATACCTGGAGGATATTTATTTCGCAGGACTTGGTCCACATGTATTTAAGTGCTTAGTCATATTATACATTCCTTATACATGAAACAATACACTATTTAGAGAGCAAAATACTCACCTTGCTAGTGAGATTCGTGCTCGCTGGCCTCCGCTCAGAATGATTCCACCGTCGCCCAGCACTGTACAATCTTTGTCTGGGAACTTGGAAATGTCCTGTTAACAATTTTTTTTTAAGAATCAGACATGTATTTTCCATATCCAAGAAACTCAAGCTACAGACTGTATGGAAGCACAGTGCACAACAGTGTACAGACAGATTAGACAGTAGTTGTAAAAAAAAAAAAAAAGAAGTCCCACAGAGGTTTATTTCTTTCATTTGTTTATGTAATTAGAAATGGTGATAAAAGAAAACATGTCATTCTATCACAGAGAGCAATCACGAGCTGCAAGATCTCAAGAACAAATATTTGTCTTAATTGCTAGATCTCCATAAAAGCAAGGAAGGTACCTTCATACAATATCAATCCAAGACATTAACCATTTGAGTTTTCTGTCAAATAACCATGGTAAATGCACTTGCCACGGAAGTTAGGGAAAGAAAGAAGCAAACTCTGGATCTGAGCTCTTCAAAACCCAGAGAAATTTATACTTCAGGCAGGTTCATTAAAAAAAGCTTGCACAAAATTCCTAGCCGGGAATGCCAGGAATGCTCAAGGTTTGCAAAAGGTTTGGGAGCCAAGTTCCGCTGCTTGGGCTGTAAGTTACTTACAACTCATGACTATGCTAAAAATGAATCTTTAGCCAGTGATAAAAACAGAAAATACCATTTTACTCTCACGTGAGACACAGAAAGGAGAAAAGGACATCCTCATGCCCCACTGGCGGAGGTGGCCAGAAATTTTCTTGAGGAGTATTTAGCACCGAAACTGAGGATCCATGCAAACCACAATAATTCACTGAAGTGGAGACGTGGAGAATGGCTTTTGTGCCTGAAGCTGTCTAGTTTTTCTACTTTTACAGTTGCTCGAACAAAAAATATTAATTCTGCCTTCAAGCCTTACCTGGCCTATGTCCTTAAGCCAAAACAGTGACACCACTGTCACTGTAGTGGTGACAGTTTCAGAGGACTTTTCCCAGAAACACGGGCTGGATGACCTCCCTGTGCCCCAGGGCGCCTAGGTTTCCAGCAGGTACGACTCCAGGGCAGTTTGCCATGCCCCGAGCTGGAAGCCCCGAGTGTCCCAGAAGCTCCCAGTGCCTGCGCTCCCTGCTCGGCAGCACCGGACTGCCGCTCTCGCTGCCTGTGCACGTGCTCCCGCTCCCAAGGCAGGGATCTCCTGCAGCCAAGGAAGCTGACCGAGGCATCTGATACCAGACAAAATCGGCACGAGTGTTCTCATGCTTTTCAAGGATTTTCCTTGTAGTGCAACTTCTGGGGGAAAAAAAAGGCATGCAAAATCCCTCAGAAAGTGAGCTTCTGGGAGCAGGCTTTAGGCAGCGCCCTGGAAGAGGTGGCCTGTTTTGGGGTCTCTCTTCCCCTGGGCAGCCGAGGGGCATGCAGGAACTCAGCTGTCTGTATGCACTCTGCAGCACCCACAGAAATCCTGCAGCTTCTGGGAAAAAGACTAGAAGAAGCACTTCCAGGGCAATACGACCTGGGATTCTAAGTTGAGCTGCTCTCTAGAAGTTCGCATTTCATACAAAGTCAGATATAATGCAATTTTAATCACCCCTGCTGTGATTTTGATGGCTACTCACTCTCAGTTGGGCAGCCTTTTGGCATTCCAAGCCTCTGAGGTTTTGCAGAATAAATAAATAAATAAAAATCCTTCGAGAGAAATGTTTCCTCCTTCCTCCCCTGTAAATTGGCCTGACCTCAGGAAAAGAGTGAACAATGCCGTTCAGCCCTGGATCAGTGACAGATGAAAGGCCCAGCCACTCAAGGACTAGAAATTGACTGCCTGGTCTGTCAGGAAATGGGAGATTCTCCCAACTCTTTAATTTGATAATAGCGTTTACTTCCTGACTTAGAGGATTCTGACCTTAAAATCAAGATGCTCTTATGTATGGAAAAGCTATTGCAGGTGATTTTAAAATTCTTCTCATGTTAACTAGTTATTTCCCTCTTGCAAAAGGAGAGCCACACAAGCAAATCCCTGGTACTAATGTAACAGCTCAGGTATTTGCAGAAAGAGGGATGTGAAAAATAATGCCAGCAACATATTTAAAGGAAGACGTTCTGAACATCACAAAATCGTCTTCCTATAGGTCATGAAGTATTTTCAAAGAATATGTGAAATTCTGGCATAAAAGCTTTTCCGGCATTTATTTGAGACGACCTGTTCACATCACTTGTGGTTTTACTATGCATGTGGGAGTCATGTTATTAATCTGTAACTTTGACATTTACCCAATATCTTCACCTGAACATTGGGATTTGCATGGTTAAGCATCTAGATATCTAAGCTGATTTCAACTGTTTCCCATTTCTACCAGTACTGCTGCCTGTAATGGTGCTGGTGTCATTGCTGTCTCCTGATTCTACTTCGTCTTCGAAAAAAGCCCAGGTAAAGAACTGGGCCCAGTGTGTCTTCCCTTGCAAACAGGGTAAAATCCTAGCCCTACTGAAATTAATTCCAGGGCTCCTATTGTTTTAAATGGTGGTGAGATTTTGTCAGATATATTTCTTTGCAGGTGTGTCAACATGGAATTTTAATCAGACTTTTAATGAGTTCCCCTTCTGCTCTCTTCTACCCTTCACCTCAGGATAATATATGGCATGGAACAGACAAAGAACTTTTCAGGCTGTAAATATAATAATTTAAAAATGTTTAGTAATTTCTTTCAAAGGCGTAAACAGAGTGATGAAGTCCAATAGACACACAATGCTATTTGTTGGAACATGCATTACCTATTGTAAAAAAGTACATAGGGCTGGTCCAAATACATCCTTGCTGTCATTTTATGCAGGAAGTGAAATCAAGCCAGGGACAAACCTAATGTAATGATGCTGAACGGCACAAACCCCAGCATATTAATGAAGTAGCTACTGGATTTTCTTTAACATATCTATTTCTAAATGCTTAAATTGAGAAACCTATTGGTAACTACTCAGAGAAGAAAACCCCCGCAGTTCCCACAGACATTCATTACTTTCATGGGTGTTTCTAATATCAGGAGCTAACAAACCTTAAGTTGCACACCCAAGGAGAAGGCCGCCCTTTTAATATCTGTTTGCATTTTTAACAGTGTAAATGTCATATTCATCTACCTCAGCAGCAAAGGGATGACCCTCATAATACCTTTGGGCTTGGTATGGAAGAATATAGCTGAGATAGTTTAATGTAATATCTCTTTTCAGGGTGAATAGGAAATATGGTCTCGTTAAAAATAAGGAAACCTCAGAATGGACTTCACACTCCAAGTCTTTTCTGTAGAGATTGTTTGTTATCAAAATTATTTGATAAATCATTAGCAACAATTAAGATAATAAAGCATGACAGAAAATATTTTCTAAGAACCATGCCTTTCAGCAAATAGTTGCTTTATATATCCAAGTATATCAAAGTATATCAAAGTTGCTTTATATATCCAAGTTTGAGTGTATATATATACTCATAAATATACACATATATATAGTCAAACTACTCAAGCAGTTCTAATCATAGAACATATGTATTTGTATGTATTTTACTTATGGGACCCCTCTTTCTTCCTTAAATATAACCTTAATGATGTGGCTTTCGATCTTCCCTCTTCTGCCTCCTCTCCAAAAAGACAAAACAGTCGTGAAACTGATGGAACAGAGCAGTGGTCTTGACTCTCTCCATTTCATCTTCACTAACCCTTTCCTCTACTTCAACACCTTTTTTTCTACAATCCCAGTTTCTTTACCATCTCTATCCCCTTCCCTTTCTTCATTGCCATTAACATTTCTGATGTTTATTTTCACAGTTCCCAGAAAATCCCCCCATTCACATTGCTACCTCCTTTTCACCCACCAAAGTACTCCCTTTTTCGCCGCCTTCTTTGTCTCTGTGTTTTAGGGAAGCTGCCCCTGAATGCATTTTGCAATTCCCTTTCTGTAGTATGGACTATTTGCAATAAATTAGAAGAAAAATACTTTATTGTATAAAATGCCAAGTAAAGCTGAATATAAGTTAAGCGGAAGCAGCACCAAGGGTTTCAAGCAGGAGCTGCAATACTGTTCCACCCTATTTGATAATTTTTCTCTTTAGTTGTAAGAGGAAAATTTACTGTTACCTGCTTTCTCACTAACATGATTATTTCTGTACTTCCAAGAAATCATATTCAATTTTAATATACCAACGAGGTAGAAATGGAACTGAAACAAACCTCCAGATTTTAATTCAGTGATTACTAAAAATCTTCAGATAATTGATTTGAAATGTCATTTTGCAAAAAGCTTTCAATTTGTCCTGATTTTCAGAAAATAAATGATCTTGAAAGAAAGACAAATACGAACTAAACTGCAAAATTTGAAGTTTTAAAGTTTTGAAATCAAGTCTTGTGTTTCAGACTTATACCTACCAGTGAACATTTCTGTTAATTTTTAAAAGATGAAGAATTTTTGGTAATTTTTTATACCTTGGCTTTTGGGTAACCAGCTTGAACATACTCAAGTTCTCATTTTCCTGGGCCAGAAGCCAGAAAACCAGATCTCTTTAAAGTATTTCAAATCAGAAATTTCTTTTCAAAATTCTATTTTATTTAGGTAACTCTCCTCTCTCTGCCTATGATTCCTGAAGCCGAAGCTTTTGTTAGATTTCAGCTGAAACATTTATGAAGAATTCACAATCCAAAAGCATAAGCTTTGTTTTCGCAAGAGTTTGTGACCTTGAGCAGAGTGTCAGGCTCACCCAAAACTCACACGAATGCTGGCAAAACTCGCTTTCTCTATGGTGAAACATTCCCGTGGAACAGATTTTTGAAACATGAAGTAGTCGGTATGCTGCGTGTGGGTAGGTTAAACGCAGGGTAAGGGAATTAAATACGATTCTAGAAGTGACACAGAAGATAGGACAACATCCAAGGTAATCAGTCCAGAGCCCTGTGCCTAAGACAGGGAAAGGGGTGGGGAGACCTGTCTTGACTGAAACAGGTTTTTAACTAAACGATATCAACACAGAACATTGCGGAGGGGCTTTGTTAAACATATTTACTTGATCACTGATGAACTTCTTGAAGTCAGT